ATCCATTTGGATTTTAGTTTTGTGCATGATGAGAGACTTAGATTTGGTTTTAATCTTCAGTATGTGGAAAGCCAGTTTTCCCAGCACCATTTATTAAGAAGGCTGTCTTTCTTCTAGTGAAGGTGTTTGGCCCCTTTGTCACAGATAAGATTCAAGTGTCTTTGGGGTTGCTTTTGCATCTTCTAGTCTGTTCCATTGATCCTTGGGTCTTTTTTTTTTTTTTTGCCAGTACCATGCTGTTTTTATAACAGTACCTCTGTCATATAATTTGAAGTCAAGTATTGTGATACCCCCTGCCTTGCATTTGTTGCCCAGAATTGTTTTTACTATTCTAGGTCCTTTCTGGTTCCAAACTAACTTTAGGTATGTTGCCTCTTGATGTGTCATCTCCTATAGGACATTCAGTCCTCAAAACACTGGAAAGTGGAAGTACTTTCATACTCATGAAGGAGCATACATAGTGTCTGCTGGCTCCTATGTATTCCCCATATCATATTTTGTTTTTCTTTTATGATACCTGGAAAACTCTATATTACTTTATTTCTTATCATTCTCTTTTATGGCACATAAAATTTAACTTTGCTCTATAAGGTAATCGATGTCTTTATATATTTTAGCCATTATTTATTGCTTTGGAAAGTGAATAAATTTAACATGGTGAACAAAGACACTGTAATGCCTTAAATCAAGAATTACATATCTTGTAAATTATAAATTCATATATATTTAATGTTATAAATATTGATAGGCATATGAAAATATTGAAATTCTTAAATATAAAAATCTTTAAGCTGTATATTAAGACCTGGGCACAGTAGTGCATTCACAAGGCTGTGACAAGAATATCAAGAATTCAAGGTCAGCCTGGAAAACTTAGTGAGACTCTGTGTCAAACAAAAATCATGCTAACATGGAGCACCATTTCCACCAAATATTTTTTTTCCCCAAAAAACGTTTATTATAAAACACCTACAAAAGGGGCCAGGGATTTGGCTCAGTGGTTTCACTGCCTGCTGCCCAAGCACAAGGATCTGAGTTTGATTCCCAGAACCAAAAAAAAAAACCTACAAAAAATAGGAATAGGTGGTCTGTAACTCATTCTGATAAAAGTCATCTATGAACAACCAATAGCCAATATCATACTAAATGGTCAAAAACTGAAATCCTTCACACTAAAATCAGAAACAAGACAAGGATGTACACTATCACCACTTCTGTTCACTGTAGTTTTGAAAACATCCACTGCAATTAGACAAGAGAAAGAAATAAAAGAAATAAAGACAGGAAATGAAGAGATCAAATTGTCATTATTTGCAGGTGACATGATACTCTATATAGAAGACCCTAAGAACTCCACCAAAAATCTTTTATGC